TTTTTTTTTTTTTTTTTTTTTTTTTTTTTTTTTTTTTTTTTTTTTTTTTTTTTTTTTTCATATTTCACTTATAAGTTATGTATCATTTATTAAACCCCACATGCTCACAACTAGATATAGTATAATTCCTTCAAATTTTTGTTCTTAAGAATGATGCTTAGGTTGAATCTATCTAGCATAAACAAGGGCCCGCCTGATAATGATGTTCTTTCTAAAAGATCATTCTTGTCTGCTAATCACTTATTTGATTTGCAGTCTACGCTTAAATTACTAACTAAAATTTAAAAACCCAATTGTGAATGTTAGATTTTCTATTTACCGTTGATTTATGATTCCGTTTTGTGAAAATTAACTGTCTATTTCATAACTAGTTCATAATTAGTTTGTTGCTTATTGATCTATATGGCACGTGAATGCAAGTTTGATCCTTCAATTGATTCATACATTGCAGAAAGTTGCAGCTGTATCTGGAGATATGAGAAAAGCTCTTTGTGTTTGCAGGTCAGTGTGTTTAAATTCATCAACGTAACTGTCACAAAACTTGGTTATACCATTGCCTACAATTAAATTCATGATTAATTAAAATTAAATTAACGATTAAATTATTTTTACTTCTGATTTATTACGGATACATTGATGTATCGACACATTTTAATTTTATTTTCAGTACTCGCCGAGTTGGTGACATAATATCATTGTACAACAATTGCAAAGATTGAATCATATTCTCAAATAATTTCATTTTTTGCTATTGTGTTCCCTTCTGTTTGAACTTGCACTATAATTCATGTAGCACTAATATGTAATTAAAATCTTCTTTAAACAGAAATGCCATTGAATTGTTAGAGGCGGAACATAAAGCATCCTCCAAGGAGGAGGACCATATAGCATGTGATGCTTCAGCACCTGAGATTGTTAAAAGTCGGGAGTCTCAGATTGTAAGTACTCGTCATTGCCACGATAAATCTTCCATATCTTATTTGTCCATTCTAAATTCCTCACTTTCTTGAACTCTTGAAAGAATTTTCGTAAAAGAAAAGGTGGTAACTGTTTGCATTATAGGTGAGGTTGGACCATATGGCTGTTGCCTTATCCAAGACTTTTAAATCACCAGCAGTGGAAACCATACAATCTCTTCCTCAGCATCAACAGGTATAATTCAAATCTCTCAATAAATGGCCAAGTAATAATCTATTAAAATTTTGTAGATGATTGCTTGAATGTTCTGATATCCAATAATTGACTTTTTGGGATTGAACTACATGTTTTCCATCATAATCGAGTAGCAAAGATTAGGTGAAACGTGATTGTTTGAATGTTCTTGAAATATTTTCCTTCTAAACTTATGAACATTGTATCCAGATTATTTTATGCTCTGTTGTGAAACTCGTTCGTGGAGGAAAGAAGGATACAACCATAGGAGAGGTGGGTTCTCTCCGTTCCTCTTGAGATAACTTTTTCTAAAGACAAAACAACGATTGAACATTGTTTCTTACTGTTACATTCAATCCCAGGTAAACAAATCATACGTAGACATCTGCAAATCAACACTAATTCCGCCAGTGGGAACCTTAGAACTTTCAAACATGTTCACAGTGCTAAACGACCAGGTAGTGGTCCAAACCGACTGTCATTGAACTTGACACTCTTCTCTGCTATGGGATAAACTCAATTTCTCAAACCCATTGTGATTGAACTTCGTAGGGGCTCCTCAAACTCGGCCAGTCTCGAGACGATAAGACGAGGCGGGTGTTGCTGAAAGTCGACGAAGCTGACGTCACGTTCGCATTACAGGTACATGCTAGACTTGTTTTTTTGTTGCCTTATTATCATTCTCTTCCTTTAGTGGTTAAGCGAGACGGTTGTCTGTTTGAATCAGGGAATACGGTTCTTTCGAAATTGCCTTACAGTAAATTAGGCGTCTCGATATCGAGTATAGATTGGTTGATGCTGATGAACACCTTAGTTTCTGGCTTTTTCTCACCACTCAAGGTATAAACTGAATTATGAAACATTAGAAAAGAGTTTATAAGTTCATAATACCAAAGTATTCCTTCAAATTCATATGAGCTGAGACAAGGAATTTTGCCTTTTCATTCATTCTTATTATAGATGCCATCCATACATCAGGGTCTGAAAAAGGTTGGGGGAACCAGTTGGAGAAGCACATGAAAAGCTAGTCTATTTGTATTTCATTAAAAGAAACTAAATAATTTGTTGATATAATTCGATGGTATTACAAGTTTCCTTCTTTTTAATTTATAAATATATACATTATAAATGTATTTGAATGAAATATTGAAGAAAAAAAAACTATATAATTGTTAGAAATCATGACTGATATTGGTCACTTTGAGCATGGTTTTGCTTTGGGCTTCCTCAAAATACCTCACCAACGGAGTCCTTTGATTATAAACTCATGATCATTATCTAAATTAGCCACTCACTCCCAACTTATAAACTCATGATCATTATCTAAATTAGCCACTCACTCCCAACAAATGATAATACTTGTTTCTTCCTCCCATAATCACATTTCTTTCATTATTCTTAAACGGTTTAGAAATGATTTTTTTCCCTAAAATTAAAATTATAATATTAATAATAATTATTTTTTAATTAAAATAAATATATATTGTTCCATAGTCCCACTAATTATTAGTAGAAAATATTTTTTTAATTGAAAAATGAGTAAATTGTTTTCTTTTAAATCAGGAAATTTCACGCTTGAAACAACGCAACAGCTTTGTTTCATTATTAAGAAGAAAACAAAGCAATACAGCCTGGTTTTTGTTAAGAGGGGTGAGTTCGCCTTAAAACGACACCGGTTAGGGTAGTCAATAAGTCAATACTGACAGCTAATTTCTGTAATAAATACGTAAAAAATTGGAATAATATATATATATATTACATAAATAGAAGCAAGAGTCTCGCATTACTAGATCCCATTCGCAACCACATCCGCCCTAGAGGCATAGAAAATCAATACAAACATTTCTCTGTCTCTCTCCCCTTCTCCCTCCGATTCCGTCGCGGCCGACGATCTCCGGTAGGATGGAGAGCCTGTGGCGAGCGGCGACTGGCCAAGATCCGAGTCCGGATGATTACAAAGGCGTTGAATTCTGGACCAGCCCCGAGCGCGCTGGCTGGCTCAACAAGCAGGGCGAATATCTCAAAACCTGGCGTCGCCGATGGTTCGTTCTGAAACAAGGTAAACTCTTCTGGTTTAAGGACTCTATCGTTACTCGTGCCTCCATTCCACGCGGCGTCATCCCTGTCAACACCTGCCTCACCGTCAAGGGCGCCGAGGATATCCTCCATAAGCCCTGCGCCTTCGAGCTCTCCACCACCGGTCATGACACTATGTACTTCATCGCTGAGTCGGAGCGCGAAAAGGAGGAGTGGATCAATTCGATCGGTCGCTCGATAGTTCAGAATTCTCGATCGGTTACCGAATCTGAAGTCGTTGATTACGATAACAGGCGATGATTCCGATGTTGAAGACTTCTTCGTCCTTCACTTTCTCTATGTACAGTAACGAGGCGAGATTTAGTCTCGGATGGTTGCGAGATGAATACCTTTTGTCGAATTGGTACTATCGATCTCTGTTTCCTTCTTTCATGTTGTTAAAATTATGGTGATGATGTGAATCGAACTGAATCTCCTCTACTTCGTTTTCTCCTTGGTTCCAAAACTTCTATCAGGCAGACGATCATCCTTGCTCGTTTTTTTCTTTGTGTATTTGATCTCCAATTACCGTAGTGTGTTTAAATTCTGGTTTAGTATATACTGATTAATGACGTTTTTTCTCAGATCATTCTTTTTCCCTTACGATTTTTATTTATCAATTTGTTTTTTTCTGAATTGTTTCTTCCAAATCAACCTCGATCAGTCTGGAGAAACCTGTAAACCGATTCGATCTTTCTTACAGTTAGGGCATGCTCACATGGAGTTCCAGCCTCCAGGATCAATTGAGAAATCATTTGGCATCCTCGACATTACACTTCACGCTTAGGACACTAGGATTTACGAATTACTTCTTAACGTAATAAATTATGCAGCTGTGGCATTGACACCATTGTTGTTCTCAAATCCTAGCAACACGTCAAGAATTCCGTCGGGCAAGCCGTGATGAGGATGATGAATCGCTTGCCGCTGGAAACCGATTATTGTAAATATAGAATGCAAGAACCAGATTTGGCCTTGAATTTCGCTCAATTGACCGTGAAAAATGGACAAAATGAATCCAACTGCTGGCTAAATGCAAGGTATCGAAGCCCTAATCTATCCTTTTCTGTTCGCAAGATAAGAACAAAGCATTATCAATTTTAATTTAGGTTCCATTCACTGAGACGATATTCACATTATTTTTATTTTGTTCACTTGAATTTGTTTGTAACTCATATTCATACCTTTTAGTAATGAAAATAGGCATTACGCATATCGTTTTAAGCGGAACAATTAATGACAATGCATTTTAATTTACATAATCAATGAATTATGTTTCAACAATTTGCATTGAATTTTAATTAAAGTTTCATGGCAGTATGTACCATTCAATTTTCAGATTGAAGATATGTAATTGGGAAAAAAATAGTTTAGATCTCAAAGCGTTTTTAACTAATAATTGTAAAGCGAGTCAGTTTCAAGCATAAAATTCTATGGGTTTTGAGTGAGTGATTCTCAATCTAAAGATAGATCTTAAGATTATACCAAAAGGATGCGACGCCATAAACATTGCATTTGGCACCCTGAATGGCTATCAATAACACAGGAGGAATATTCCTACAACTGAAATGAAATTATCCATATATTCTAAAGCCAGTGATATCTATGATCCCATCGCTAAATAGTGCGCATAATCTTTACAAAAGGCTAAGATTCCAACATCCCAAAGAACTTTAATCTCTGATCTAAGCGATTACCAGATCAAAGAGTTATCATAGCCGTTTTGATAGAACAAATAAAGCTTAGTTTCAAGCTAGTGAGGTAACAAAAAAGAGTTCCCATTACGATACAAGGAAACCGAACAGCCTGTCGGAAAAAAACCGAAGTGTGTTGAACAAGACAGGACTAACTGTAACGATTCGTTGCAGTCCTTATCTACGATGATCTTCGTTTCTTTCTCTATGAGAATGATCCCGACCATGAGAGGATCGAGAATCCCTCTTCTCATCTGGATTTTCCCGCCTATGTGATTCTGAGCGATGTCTTGTCGATTTATCTCTTTCCCTTCTATCATCATTGTCTTCCCTTGGCTTTTGCTGATACTCTTCGTCACCGTGCCTTTTTGACCTGTCTTCTTCCCTCGAATTGTAGTCTCTTCTTGAATGTGGCGGGAGTTCGTCGTCTTGGTTCCTTCTCGATCTCCTTTCTTCCTTCTTATCGTGATCATCTTCTAACTTCGTCTTATCATCGTCATCACCATGTCTTCTCAATCTCTTCTCTTCTTTCTCACTATCATCATGGTTCCTTCTGGATCTCTTCTCTTCCCTCTTATAACGATCATCTCCCGACTTCAGTTCACGATTGCTATCAGGATCGTGTCTGCTCATTCTCTTCTCATCTTTCCTGCCATGATTCTCTCGAGACTTGAGCTCGGATTCTTTACCATCATCCCAGCCTTTCAGTTTACTTTCCTGCCTCGCCCTCCCACTTATTTCCCTAGGATGCCTTTCTAAGTCGTCGCTGTTTTTCCTTCCTTTCGCACGCAATTCTCTATCACGATCTTTTTTATCATCGAACTTGTCATGTCCCCATTTTGAACTTGCATCTTCTGCCGCCCCCCAGCCCGTGTTCGCAGCTCTCTGAATAATAAAAAACTTGATGCATTAAATTTCTCAGTGAAGCTAAAACTCTGAGCCAAGCATGGTAAAGAAAATAGTATGTCAAAAGTTCTTTCACTCAGGGATAGCCAGCTAGTAACATTAAAGGTAAATTAGTTCTTTCACTCAGGGATAGCCAGCTAGTAACATTAAAGGTAAATTAAAATCCCGTGAAACTAACAGACTTCCTATAACAGCCCAAGTCCATCGCTAGTAGTTATTGTCCGTTTTAGTCCGTTACATATCGTCGTCAGTCTCACGGTTCTAAAACGCATCTGCTAGGGAGAGGTTTCCACACCTTTATAAGGAATTCTTCGTTCTCCTCTCCAACCAATATGAGATCTCACACTTTCCCTGCAAAATTGATTCCATTTCTATACATGGCACCACCCCTCCTCCCCACTAACCAACTGTCAGGGATTAATTCCTCTTTTACATTTTCTAGAGTAAGTTTACACAATAGGAAGTCTCACACATACCTGCTCATCATGAGAGAATTTGCACCCAGCTCCACGGGTACATTCACCCCTTTGAAATGCACGACAAACACCGCGAGCTTCCCTCTTCTTTTGTTCGGTTTCTTCATCTTCTTCTTCCTTCTTTTTATATTTAGTCACATGATCAACCCTAATGATTCGACCTAGAATCTGTGCACCATTCAAATTATCTGAAAGGGACAAACACCATTAATTAGAAATCTGCATTCATTCCCATATAACGATGAACTATCTAGAGCAAGGAGCTGAAGACAACCTACAGCAAGGATTGTACTTCTCTGATCTTCATATGCAACAAAGGCAAAGCCTTTCGACTTTCCTGTACCCTTGTCTCTGACAAGATTAACATCAACAATCTCTCCATACCTGTTCGTCCAAGTACATTTCAATATTCAGATGAAAAAAAGATAATCCACAGCTAATATGCTACGTTAAAAATGCATTTACAGGCAGCTAAACATTGAAAGGGCAAGGAAGAAGAAGATGTTTATTTTATTGATTGGAAGGAATGTAATTATACACACACGCACACATATATACCAACTACCAAGATACCGAAGAGCTCTTCTTGTATTATGCTTGCAACCTACCCCACTAATCTTCGAGAGGCTTTACGCACTCCAATGCTAGCTCCAGGAGAAGAGAATGGTTTTGAGCAACTAAGCTTCTAATTGAGACTTAGACCTAGGACCTCGAGAGGTATCTATCGAGGATTATTGAAAGTAGTCCCACGTTGGCTAATTAAGAGGAAGATCATAGGTTTATAAGTAAGGAACGCTATCTCCATTGGCATGAGACCTTTTGGAAAAACCAAAAGCAAAGTCATGAGAGCTTATGCTCAAAGTGGACAATATCATACCATTGTGGAGGTTCGTGATTTCTAATATGGTCATACCCTTAATTTAGTCATGTCAATAGAATCCTCAAGTGTCAAACAAAGAAGTTGTGAGCCTCGAAGGTGTAGTCAAAAGTGATTCGAGTGTCGAACAAAGGGTGTACTTTGTTCGAGGGCTCTAGAGAAAGGAGTCGAGCCTCGATTAAGGGGAGGCTGTTCAAGGGCTCTATATGCCTCAAAAGAGACTCTATGGTATAAGTTGTCCAAGGGGAGGATTGTTGAAAATTATTGAACGAAGTAGTCCCACATTGGCTAATCAAGAGAAAGAACATGAGTTTAATAAGTATGGGATACTATCTCCATTGGTACAAGGCCTTTTGGAAAAACCAAAAGCAAAGCCATAAGAGCTTATGCTCAAAGTGGACAATATGGTACCATTGTGGAGGTTTGTAGTTTCTATCCATATCTCCAAACATCTTGTCATATGGTTGCCCCTTCGAGATCACAAGATGAATTCTGCAAAGTAGCTAAAAAAGACTTCTCTGATCCTTTAGAGAGATGGGAGGGGAGGGAGGGGAGGGAGGGAGAAACTTTTTCTCAAGCTGAAGATACAAGGAACAACAAAACCTAATGGACTAGCAAGAACGAGCTCAATTAGTGTATTTGGTCAAACATAAGCTACACAACTTGAAACATCAACTCCCTCTCTAACAAAAATCCTCCAGTTATGCAAAACCTCGGAAATTTCATTTCAGAAGCTACTCGAACTACGAGACCACACCTAAGGGAGAAAATAAATCATTTCATTGTCGAACACGCAGATCCAGCATAGAAGCTCAATGTTCCACTCAGTAAACTACCCAATCAGAACAGAGAGCCACAGAAGAACACAATGAGGAGAAAACAGATAAAATTATGAACTTACTGGGCGAAGACGGCGAGGAGATCACCCTCAGTGAGATCGTAAGGAATGCCTCCAACGAAAACGTAGGCGGAATCCTTGTATTTAGCGTGCCATGAGGCTTCCTCAGAAATCCCAAGCGAGGCCTCCTGAGAATTGATTTTCTGGATGCGTTTGACTAGGGTTAGAGGATTCATAGCTCACTTCCAAACCAAAATCAAAATCAAAATCAAGATCCTCTCCAGTTTCCCTTGGGCAGAGAAACGAGCGCCAAGGGTTTTCTTCCCGAGAGGGGATCGAAGTCGAACTAGGGCGAAGCGCGCGCAGCCTATTCTCCGTATCTGCCGGTTAGGAACTTCCTACTTTTTTTTTTTTTTTTTTTTTTTTTTTTTTTTTTTTTTTTTTTTTTTTTTTTTTTTTTTTTT